ATATATATAAAATTAGCTGGGCATGGTGGTGCATGCCTATAGTCCCAGCTATTTGAGAGGCTGAGGCAGGAGGACTGCTTGAGCCCAGGAGTTTGAGGTTGCTGTGAGCTAGGCTGATGTCATGGCACTCTAGCCTGGGCGACAGAGTGAGACTCTGCCTAAAAAAAAAAAACCTATAAGGTGTATGGAAAAAAAAATAGCAAAATGACATAAATCTCTTCTTATTAGTAATTACTTTTAATGTGAGTGGATTAAACTGTTCAATCAAAAGACAGAGATTGGCAGAATAAATTCAAAAACAAGATCCAATTATATCTTGTCTACAAGAGGCTCATTTTAGATCCAAACACACAAATTAATTGAAAGGGGATGGATGGAAAAAGATAGTCCATGCAATAGTAACCAAAAGAGAGCAGGGATGCTTATAATAATACCAGACAAAATAGACTTTAAATTTTAAATAGTTTATAAGAGACAAAAAGAAACATTATGTATCAGTGCAAGATTTGACACAGCAAGAAGATATAACAATTATAAACATTTGCACAACTGATGACAGGCCATCAAAATATATGAAGCAAAAACCTACAGAACTGAGGGAAAAATAGACAATTCTACAATAATAATTGAAGACTTCAATACCCCACTCTTAATAATGAATAGAATGATAAGAAAGAAGATAAGTAAGGAAATAGAGGACTTAAACAATACAATAAACCAACTATATCTGAAAGATATATCCGGAACACTCTACCTACCAACAACAGCATACACATTCTTCTCAAGTACACATGGGACATTTTCCAGCATACACTATGTTAGGCCATAAATTAAATCTCAATATATTTTAAAATATATCATACAGAGTATCTTTTCTGAGCATAATAGGATAAAGTTAGAAACAAAAAACAGAAGGAGGCCGGGCACGGTGACTCACGCCTGCAATCCTAGCTCTCTGAGAGGCCGAGGCGGGCGGATTGTTTGAGCTCAGGAGTTCGAAACCAGCCTGAGCAAGAGCGAGACCCCGTCTCTACTAAAAATAGAAAGAAATGATCTGGACAACTAAAAATAAAAATATATAGAAAAAATTAGCCGGGCATGGTGGCGCATGCCTGTAGTCCCAGCTACTCGGGAGGCTGAGGCAGAAGGATTGCTTGAGCCCAGGAGTTTGAGGTTGCTGTGAGCTGGGCTGACACCACGGCACTCACTCTAGCCCGGGCAACACAGTGAGACTCTGTCTCAAAAAAAAAAAAAAAACAGAAGGAAAACTGAAAATTTCACAAAATTGTGGAAACTAAAGACCACAATCTTTTGCAACAAATAGATCAAATAAGAAAACACAAGGGAAATTAAAAAATATTTAGAGATGAATGAAAATGAAAACACAACATACCAAAACTTATGGGATACAGTGAAAGTAGTTCTAAGGGGAAAATTAATAGCTATAAATGCTTAAGTTAAAAAAAGAAATATCTCAAATAAACAACATAACTTTATAACATTAGGAATTAGAAAAAAGAGAACAAACTAAACCCAAAGCTAGCAGAAGGAAAGAAATGAGAACAAATATCAATGAAATAAAGAATAGGGAAACAGTAGAGAAAATCAATGAAACAAAAAGTTGGTTCTTTGAAAAGATCAACATAATAAAATTTTAGCTAGATGGACTAAGAAAAAAAGAGAGAAAATATTACTAAAAAGACTAAAAATTGTTAAAATAAAAATGAAAGTAGGGGATGGGTACAGTGGCTCTCGCCTGTAATCCTAGCAATCTGGGAGGCTGAGGCAGGAGGATCAATTGAGGTCAGCAGTTCGAAATCAGCCTGAGCAAGAGTGAGACCCTATGTCTACTAAAAATAGAAAAATTAGCTGGGCATGGGGCACATGCCTGTAGTTCCAGCTACTCAGGGAGGGCTGAGGCAGGAGGATCACTTGAGCCCAGGAGTTTGAAGTTGCAGTGAGCTATGATGATGCCACTGCACTCTACTCGGGTGACAGTGAGACTCTGTCTCAAAAAAAAAAAAAAAATATCCACATGCAAAAGAATGAAATTGGACCTTTAGATAGCACCATATACAAAAATGTACTCAAAATAGATCAAAAACCTAAGTATAAGACCTAAAGATATAAAATACATAAGATAGCATAGGGCAAAATCTTCACTACATTGGATTTGGCAGTGATATCTTGGCTATGACACCAAAGGCAGAGGTAACAAAAAAAATTGGACTTCACAAAAATTTTTAAAATTTGTGCATCAAAAGGTAGTATCAACACTAAAAAGACAACCCACAGAATGGAAGAAATATTTTAAAATCATATAACTGATAAAGGATTGGCATTCAGAATATATGGCGAACTGCTAAAACTCAACAACATAAAACAAACAACGTGATTCAAAAAATGGGAAAGAGCTTGAATAGATATTTCTCCAAAGAAGATATACAAATGGCCAATAACATATGAAGAGATGCTCAACAATGCTAATCATTAGGGAAATGCAAATCAAAACTAAAATGAGATACCACCACACACCCATTAAGATGTGTACTGTCAAAAAATAACAAGTGTTGGTGAGGATGTAGAGCACTTGGAACCCTTTTTCCCTGTTGGTGGGACTGTGAATAGTACAGCCACTGTGGAAGACACCATAGCATTTTCTTAAAAATTAAAAATGGAATTATCATATGATCCAGCAATTCAACTTTTGGGTATATACTCAAAAGAATTGAAAGCAGAGTCTCAAAAAGGTATTTGAACACCCATGTCCATAGCAGCATTATTCACAATAATGTAAATAATTAAATGTGGACACAGCCCAAGTATCCATCAACATATGAATGGATAAGCAAAATGTGATACAAACATAGAATGGAATATTATTCAGCCTTAAAAAGGAAATTATGACAAATGCTACAACATGAATGAAACTTGAGGACCTTATGCTAAGTGAAGTAAGCCAGTCACAAAAAGGCGAACGCTGTATGGTTCCACTTATATGAAGTACTTAGAATAGTCATAGAGAAAGGAAGTGGAATGTTGGTTGCCTGAGGCTGGGAGGAGAGGAGAGTGGGGAGTTATTGTTTAATGGGTGTAGAGTTTCAGTTTTGCCAGATGAAAAGAATTTTGGAGATGGAGGGTCATGATGGTTGTACAACATTATTAATGTATTTAATGCCACTGAACTGTACACATAAAAATAACTAAGATGGTAAATTTTATGCTATGTGTATTTTACCACAACAAAAAATACTGGGAAAAAATGTAATTCAGGTCATGTCACTCCTCTGCTCACTGTCTGCCCCGCCCCTCCACACCCCTACACCACCAATGGCTCCCATCTCAGTGAGAAATCCAACACTCTTGCAGTGACCTTCAAGTTCCTAGAGACCTGGGCTCATTTCCCTGACCTCATCTCCCCACCCGCTACCCCACTCACTCTGTTTCAGCCACACTGGCCTCTTTGCAGTTCTCCAAACATGCAGGACACGTTTCCACCTCAAGGCTTTGCGCTGACTTTTTCCTCTACCTGGAATGCTCTTCCTCTACGTGTGCATGTGGCTCCCTCTCTCCCATCCCCAAATCTTTGTACAAATCTCACCCCATCCATGCAGGCTGCTCTGATGACCCTATTTAATACTATATCCTACCCACTCATCCAATCCTTGCCCCCAGCATTCCCAGTTTCCTTCACCCAGCTCTACTTTTTCTTTTTTCTGTAGTGCTTATAACCTCCAACCTTACTAGACAACGTAATTATTTATTATGCTTATTGTTTATTGTCTGTCTCTTTCACAAGAATATAAGCTCCTTGAGGGCAGGGATTTTTGTTCTGTTTGCTGATGTATCCCAAGCACCTAGAATAGTACATGGAACTTAGTAGGCATGTACTAAATATTTATCGAAAGAATGAATGAATAAAAAATTTCCATCTAGGGTTGAATTAGTGACTTTTAGCCCACTAGCCAAAGGAAATTAACATGTCCCACCCCAAAGAAAGTTAAGATTCAGGAGCATTTGTGGAATAAAATGTTGTAACAAATCACCTGCTATACTCAACTACCCTCCTTCAAAATATGTGTGTGTGTATGTGTATCTATGTGTATATACACGTGTGTGTATATATATATATATGTATGTAAAGTTGGATTAAAATGCACATTAAAGGCAAACTCACTGTCATGTGGGGACTGTAGAATGGACGGGGGCTTTGGTTGGAAGGTGTTTTGAGCTGCTGATTGAGTGCATGCCCCTCTCACATGTCAGGAGATGGTCTGGTGTCTAGCTTCAAAAGCGCCACACGATTGGGACCCACCTCATTGAGCTGGCCACCATTTATCCTCACCCACACCGAGCGAATGGGGGTCTGGCTGCATGCAAGGCTGAGAGAGTGGTCGGGGGAGGAGATCATTCAATCTTACTATGGACTTTTCCTGGCAGCCAAGATGATGAGATGGAAAAAGGCAGACGAGTGGCTACTCCAGAAGTGCATTGGCGGCGTCAGAGGGATGTGGCGCTTCTGTTCCTACCTCAAGGGCAGTGCAGGTCGGTTGTTGGAGTTGTTTCTGGGGCCTTTGCAAGTTCTTAACAGTTTCCAAGTTTCCAACGGCCCTGGAGCCCCAATTGGCAGTTATGTGTGTCTATGGTAAATATTTTAATGTTTAATAATGTTTGGATAAAAATCTTTGAAAACTGAGGTCCATAGTGTAGGTTAAGGTAAAAGCAGTCAGAGTCCCTTTCATTCATTCATTCGTCTAACAATAATTGTTGAGCACCACTACGTTGTAGCCACTGTGCTGGTAGATTGGGATACAAAGGTGACAGCAGCCTTAAGTCCCCACTTCCTATAGCTGTGACTATGGTGGAGAGACGGATGAGGAACAAGTAAATAAATCCCAGTAGCAAACGTGTTGGCAACCTTGGAAACCACGCTTTCCTGTTCTATTGGGTCCAGTAGTTGCTGGGTGCTGGGAGGCCGCCAACTGGCGCTGGCTGACACTCCAGCCCAGCAATGTTAAATTTCGTCTAGGGACAAGCCCTAGTTTTAAGGGTGAAATCCTGGGTCTCCAGGGAGCAGGCAGGGGAGAACTGGACAAACTGTATCTTTCACTTTGCCACTCAGAGTTTGGCCCTGGCAAAATTATGAAAAAGGGAATTGTAGTCTTTGGCATCTTTCGGCTCAAATGTCCTTCAGGCTGCTCTGGGTCTGTGATCTAGAAAATGTTCTTTTTCCTCACATACTTTTCTAGAGAAAATTCAAATGTCTCATGATCCATCCTCAGTTTTGAGTTTTCCCTAAAATGAGAGTTTATATAACAACAGTAACAAAAAGTCACGAAGGATCCCCATGCATTAAATTCCTTCTCCCCATGCCTCCCATCCTCCCCGACATTAGAACTTACCTGGAGATGATGCCTTAACCCAAAGAAGTGACTAACGGTGATATTTGATATAGTAAAACAGCCTGGTGGAGGATATCAGCTGATTCACCCGGCTGCAACCACTAAAGGGGCGAGATTAGGGTGCAGCTCTGTGTCTACCCTGTCTGATCTGTAGGTGAAGAGTTGGTGGATTTCTGGATCCTTGCCGAGAAGATCCTGAGCATAGATGAGATGGACCTGGAAGTGAGAGACTACTACCTGTCCCTCCTTCTCGTGCTGAAGGCCACCCATCTGCAGGAGGGTTCCAGGGTGGTAACTCTCTGCAACATGAACATCAGTAAGAGTTATAAAGCATATTTGAAGTGTAATCCTTGGGGATATAACAAAAAAATCAACCCAGCATCTAATAACCCTCAGTCTCTTGCTTTGCAGACGGCCACCCTCTCCATCTTCTATGTATCAGGGATGCCAGTGGGAA